GATTTTTCCCAAGAGAGCCTTGATGTCTCCCATTGCCAGAATTGTGGCAATAGTTTCTTCCTCAAACGCAGCTATCCACTTTCCAGCCCCATCTTGGAGACAAGGGAGGTGCTGCACCAAGCCCTCTAAATCCATTGTAGGCCAGGGCACATACTGTAGCTGTGCTCCTTTGGCCAGCAGTGGAAATGATGTGGCCTCTGCACATTCAGGTGGATCTTCTGATTCTCCACTGTTCAGTGTGATTACTGCATCCAAGCGTCCACATTCTTTCTCTGATGGGGACTGATTCCCTTTGCAAGCTTGAGGTAATGACTGAACTACTTTCCTCCTCTCTGTGACATGAGGAGGCTTTGGCTTAGCTCCTGCAAGCTCATATCTCTCTTCTTCTTCCCTCTCCTTTCTTCCAGGAGTGGACACCTTACTGGGCACAGGTGGAAAACTGAGGGAGTAGTCTTTTGAATCAAAAGGGACCAAGGCCTCTTCTGCTCTATCCTTTGGCCCGCCGTCCATCTCACCACACTGCCCATCTTCCTCTTTTTCAGCGTCCATCAATACTTTCACAACTTCGTCATGCAAACCACTTAAACGTTTGCGGGCCTCTCCATGTGGGAGATGGAGCCCTTTCCAGTAAGCCTCGGGCAGATCTCCCAAGCCATCCGGCAGCTCCGCCTTCTCCTGCTGTCCAAAGCTGACTGCATACTCCAGCTCTTCTACAGGATAAATTGACTTCTTTCCAGATTTCATCACATAGTCACCTTTGAGTCTTAACTGTCGCACAGGCATTTGAGTGGCGTACGGTGGTGGCTGATCCGTTCCCCGGACCAGCTTCTTTTTCTGTTCCAGCTGCTCTCTGACGTACTTGGCCGTCTTTTCTCGCAGCAGTTTTGCATGATTGATGAACAATTGGATGATAGCCAGTTCTCTTTCACGCTTACGCACACGCTTTGCTGACTTTTCTTTTGCCTTGTGGTTCTTTATAACCACCTCCATTTCACGACATTGGTTAAGATCAAATGTTCCATCTTGTGGCCAAGGTGACAGGAGATTTCGTGTTCTGCGGTTCCACTTTCGTGACAAATTGTCAATTTCCTCGGCGAGCAGAGGATTTTGCTTACCTAAAACCATCACTGGAGATGTGCTCTTCAGTTTTCCAGGCTCCATGACCCTGCTGGGTTATGTTCTATGTCTGTAGCAAAATACCTATGTACTTATATACCACTATAATACACTGTGGGATGAATGGCACCACCCCAAAATTCAAATAATATGAAGAACTTAGGAATATGAAACTTTAAAAATGGATAGCTGTGAACATACAGATAAACAACCACATTCAAAGCCAAATTTAATCACTTAAAGTAACTCTGCTATGTTATAGCTGCTATTCTAACTTTCTCAATCCTTCCTGTAATTTAAACCCTACTGTCCATACGTGTGCATGTATTGTAAATATAAATGTGCATATAAATCTTGAGAAACGCATGCAACATGTGCCAATTAGCAAACAATAAAGAAAATAGCCTTTTATTTTTGTCCTCAGCTGCTTTTTAACTCCCCCTCAATTGTTTAATGTCTGGGCTGCTCTCCCCTCTCTGTGCTCTTCTACACGTCACGCCTGCACCTCTCA